GGCCGGACCGTTTCTACCCAGAGAGAGAAAAGGAGTGCCACCTGATAGGAAGGGGGAGGAAAAATATTTTGTGATCTTAAAACTTTTTATGATAAGCAAAAAAAAAAAAAAAAAAAACGAGCGCTACATCTACTGTTTGAAACAAAAACAAAAAACAGGCACACTTACAGACTGCTCAGAGGCCTCGCCTGCGCTGTCATATTCTATGATGGCCTTGTAGAGGGTGTTGAGTAAGTGTGATGCACGTAATACGTTGGGCGTTCCCGGTGGCACTTCAGCCACTCCTGTGCAGAAAACCCTGTGCAGCATCGTGATCTGAGCCAGATGAGGACTTAACCGTTCCAGCACAGATGATAGAGTCACTGTCTCATCTATGAAGAACCATAATAGAATTAATACTATTATTATACTAAAATAACCGAATACATTTACAGACACAGAAAAAACAACCTTTGGCAATAATGTCTTTTTCGATATTATTGAGCTCTTCTTTAAAGCTGGTGAAGTATTTGTACAGGGCCCAAACGAATGCTTGGTAGGTCCGGAAGGGAGGCTCAGAGCTCTTCTTGGAGGACGAAGAGGACGACGTGGAGTTAAGACCAGGAGGACAGGGCTCTACGCTGTGGCCGGTCACTTCATCAATAAACTTTTGCAGACGGGAAACAGCCTGCCCATAGGCCGCTATGTGCTCCAGTACAGAGTGAAGACAGTTCTGTACACAAATAGGGATATATCTTACACATTACAAAAAAAAAGTTATCTTTATTTTTAAGTGTTAGTGTAATTATTACTATAGTAGCTACATACAAAATATGTAAAACTACAAAATAAAGTCGTATTTTCTTTTATGACTTACAAAATCTAAATAACACTAATTGAAATTATGTGTATTGGCCCCCTCTGAAAACGAGATTCATCCCAATCGATAAATACATGTAATTAATTAAAATTGGACTGGCACCTTCCCTACTATACGAGCATGACTTCCAAAAAATAGTAAACTTCCAACAAACCCCAAAAACTTAGGCCTGATAGGGAATGATGAAAAACTGTCTCCACTCACATTAGTTAGATGAGTGACCACCACATCATTCCTCACAGTCAACTTGCCATCACTGTGCTGGAAAATGAAAAGTTTTTTTACACCAGAGAAGAGCCTGAGGAGAAAAAATAAAAGAACACATGATTTTTCCTGTGAAAAAAAAAAAAAACTTGATATGAGCAATCAGTCATCTTTGTGAAACATTTTTTATCTGGGTAAGCAAACATGTGCAACATAAAAAAACTCCATTCCAGAACTGCTCATTCCCTGCAGGTTTAAACTTGCCTCCTTATACCTATCCACATATGCAATTCCCACATGAGATATGTACTTTCCTTTGGTAAGATCACGTCTGTCTAGTTTTTCAGTGTAATCATAGCAATCTTAGAAATGGCATACCAAAGAGTTTCCCGAATCACTTGTGTTTCTGTAACAAAAGACTTTTCCTCAGGAAGATAGAGAGGCCCGGTGTTATACAGGTGCTGATCCCTGTAGAAAAAGAGAGTGAGAGTGCAACATTTAAAAAAAAAAATCTATGCAAAATTACCACATGAAATCTTTACTCAATTTAAAGATTGAATAGCATTTGCTCCAAAACTCTTATTAAATCAATCAATTGGGTCTAAATTAATGGGCTTGTGATTCTGAAAGCGAATAAGATTTCACAAAAATGCCTAACCAGACGTTGTAAAGGTTGGAGTGCAGGTGGAGGCTGTGTGGAAAGCGGGGAGAGTTGGGAACCCAATATGAAGTGACGATATGCTGCTCCAACCAAGCCCTGGAGTCCGGCTCCCCCACTACAAAAAGAAGACAGGAAAAACTAGTAGTACTGATAACAACCTTCATGAACAAATGGCTACTGTAAGAAAACGTGCTAATACGGTCCCTTACCGGTCCAGGTGACTTGGACGGTCTTATCATTTTGCTCGTGGTCCTCCTGTGGTGTTCTGTCTACCTGTATACCAGAATCCTCTCTGCTCAGGGGCTGCTGGCTATCTTCTTCATCACTCTCTTCCTCAGACCAGTCCTGCCAAAATATCAATTTATCTGTTGTGTTTTATTACTGCTAACATACAGTATAGTATACAATAGCACTTGTCCCAAATTTGGTGGGAGAACTTCAGAATCTGTCCTGAAGAATTTTTGTGTCTAGACACATAGCAATTTCAACAAAACAGTTCCCGGCATGATGTGATGCTATTGAAGAGCATAGGATGAAATTATGCAAATTTGTAGATGGAAAATGTTCTCTTTGCAGACCTTTTACGTTCACATATGACACACTACATGACAAGTAGTATCTGAAAAAGCATAATAGAGCACTTTATAACGTTTCATTTAAGTGCAAGTGAATATTGTTCATTACTATGTATTATTATATTAGAGCGTAAAAATAAATTCTGAAATATAATTTCCTTAGTATTTATTTAGTGTCTTGGTTGTTTTAAGTAGAATTTCATATTTAACTTCAAATAAACAGGACAGTTTTTCATTACAAAAAGTTCATTTTTTTAACTCTACTATTTCAAAATACTATTTCAATACATAAATATTAATAAGCTGAAGAATTTTGACTAATCATTTATAAGCACTTTTGTATTTGCAAAGAATTTTATTATTTTCTAAAAGTTCTTGAGACAAAGCAAAAGGACAGTTTGTTCATAACTTATGATCTAAATCTCTTTGAAATCTTTTAAATCTCTCATTTACATTTACATTACATTTACATTCTGAAAAATATTGACAGATCATTTATTAGCCATATTGCCCAGCCTTTTAGTACATGATACTAGACAAAAACTGATCTAACAATCTAATAGAGTTCACTCACTGGAGTGTCTGGAAAGGGCCCAGTATCAATTTCTTCTCCTTCCATGAGGTACTTTGCCCAATCAAACTTGTCTTCTTTCTCTGTGGATATAACATATTAATTTGTAGCAATTTTAGGTATAGTGTTATCCAACAGTATGCATGTATTTACACACGCACACAAAAAAAATCCAACCTGTTTCTTTCAGCCTGGGTCTTTCACAATAGTTTGTGTTGGATGGAGAGTCAGACAGATTGAGTAATAAAGCCAGCATACTGTAATGGGCATCAGTCTGAAAACAGTAATAGAGATATTCAGCATATGTAGTGTTCCATGTATTCTCTGGATGATGTCAGTGTTATCCCACCTTGGTTCCCTCGGTATTAGGAAGAGGAGAACTGAGAAATTCTTCAGTTAGCCGTATCCAGCTCTCTGCTTTGCTTAAGTCAGAATGAACCATGAGTTTCTCATGAATCCTGGTAGAAAAAGAAATCTCAATAACTACATTTTAATAATCAAAATATCAGCATAACAAAAAATTAAAGTACACAGAATTGTACAAAGCTTCAGACTCCCTACCCATTAATGGATCGCTGCACATTATGTCTGTTGACATCAAGAAAATGGTGAAACCTATCAAGGGACAAAACACGATGAGAGCTTTTGATTGATTTTATACACCAAAATGAAAAGTTGGGTAAAAAATGGAGAACAAGTTTTTCCATTTTATTCAATTATTTAGTTTTTTATTAGTGTTTACTTTTCACAAATACATGCAATCCATTACAGTAATAAAATGAAAGAATACATGCACCACGTACTTGAAATTGGACCAAGTAAACTTCAGAGCCATTTGGAAGTTTTGATCTTCCTCATCCTGAATGGCAGTATAATGTGAGATGAGTCTCCGGGTCTCCAACTCCAGCTCCTTCTCAAACCTGCTCCAGTGAGCCATTATGATTCAATGATCAACTGAAACACCAAATACACACACACACACACAAATTAGATCAGAGTCAGACAGACAGACAGACAGATAAAAACAGATAGATATAGATAGATAGATAGATAGATAGATAGATAGATAGATAGATAGATAGATAGATAGATAGATAGATAGATAGATAGATAGATAGATAGATAGATAGATAGATAGATAGATAGATAGATAGATAGATAGATAGATAGATAGATAGATAGATAGATAGATAGATAGATCACACACCTGCTTTTTGTTATGACGCTGACAGGGGCGAGCCGTTATCAACAGCTGCGGCTAGCAAAACAAGAAACCCATGACATGGGTGCTACCTAAGTGTCACAGATACACCGAAAATGTGCCTTCTATCTCCCGAATATAGTCCGTTGGCGAAAGTCGAACCGAGTGCTGCCTTTAAATCTATTTATCTCATTATCATATGACATGTATTATGATTTCCCTTGTTGCCGCCTCCATGACTTCAGACGCTTCTTCTGTGGGGTGCCGTGTGGACAGTAACGCTGGGGGGAGCTTTACTGCCACCTATCAACCAGGATAGAACATGACGAGACACAACAAATCAACAGCCAGACAAAAACATCGAAAGTGCAGGAAAAAAAATCCATTCAGTATACAACAAATATTCTGTGCACTTTTGTTATATGCGTACTTTTCCATCATAGAGTATTTTATTATTTTGTAAAAGTTGTGAAGATATTAAGTAAAGGACAGTTTGTTCATAATTGATGTCACAGATTGTGCATTCATTTAATAGTTTGAACAAAAAAAAGGTCTCGAACGGTACCATCAGATAGCGAGCTCACTGCATCTAAACTGTTACCTTTCCGACCGCTGGCCAAAACAATGGTTCTGTGTATTACCTTTTACATAATCTACGATTGTTGTCAATAATGTGAAAATATGGCAAATTTATATAGTTTAGTGATGTTCGTTTATTGAATTACTTTTCGAATTGGTCCATTTATATTACATACGAATAAAATGTGCTCGTATTTTGGTAGGTAGTCGAAGCTAGTGTAATTTTTCCACTCGCTTTGTTGTGAGTGACCTCTTAACTATCCAATAACAATCTTCTTTTGCGCAACTCCCACTAGCCAATCCTGGCGCAGGGGGCGGGACTTGACACATTACGGGCATTCTCTGTTGCGGGTGAGGAAAAAAAGATCCCACCCCTCTAAACTTTACTGTTACTGCTGTTATCCACCAACAACAGTATTCATACAGGTAGTAGACGAGCAGTCCGTCAAGATCCGCGCGTCACTCTCTCCGCTGGGGCCATGAAGAGAAGGCTTCAGAAAAAATACATCATCTTGATTCTAGGATACTCCGTGGCGCTGATTTTAATTCCCTACGTGTTAGATTACCGGAGCAAATCGTCCCACATTAAAGATGGATATCAGCAACAAAAGTGTCCCGATCTGGACAGCACCATCGCCCTGTGGAGTAGCACCCGGGTGGGCAACTCAACGGAGGTGGAGGACTATGGCAACAGGAGTCAGTCCAGAACACACATATACCTCCACGCAACCTGGAGGACAGGTTCCTCGTTTTTAGGGGAATTATTTAATCAGCACCCTGATGTGTTTTATTTATACGAGCCCATGTGGAACATGTGGCAGGCACTTTATCCAGGAGATGCGGGCAGCTTACAGGGAGCAGTGAGAGACATGATGAACTCTCTGTTTAGATGCGATTTCTCAGTGTTAAAACTCTACGCAGGCTCGTCCAACGTGAGCACCTCGTTTATTTTCGGCTGGAAAACGAACAAGGTCATTTGCTCCGAGCCTCTCTGCAAAGCGTACAAAAAACACGAAATTGGGTTAGTTCAAGGAGACGTGTGTAGCAAATGCCAGCCCAGAGACCTCAAAGAGCTGGAGAAAGAGTGCAAAAAGTACCCCGTGATGGTCATCAAAGACGTGCGGGTTTTAGATCTCGCGGTTTTGGTTCCTCTTATACGAGATCCCGCCATCAACCTCCAGATAGTCCAGTTGTTTCGCGACCCCAGGGCTGTGCACAATTCTCGGATGAAGTCCAAACTGGCTCTGGTGAAGGAGAGCATACAGGTGCTGAGGAGCAAGAAGCAGAGCGACAAATACAAGCGCCTTCTGGTGCCTAGCAACAGGGTCCATCGAGCCGAGAACTACGTCTCCAGCGCAATGGAGTTAATATGCGACAACTGGCTCAACGACATGTTGCTCGTAATGAACGCTCCGCAGTGGGTAAGGAGAAACTACATACAGCTGAAATACGAAAACCTGGTGCTCAGACCTGTGGACGAGCTCCAGAGGCTCTATCGTTTCGCCAACCTCACCCTTTCTCCAGCCATGGAGAAGTTCGTGGTGAACATGACCCACGGACAGGGTTATTCTTCAGATAAACCCTTCCTCATATCATCCAGAGATGCCAAAGAGGCAATTTACGCCTGGAGGGAAAGGCTGAATGTGGAGCAGGTGAACCAGGTCGAAGCCTACTGCAGTGAGGTCATGAGACACCTGGGTTATCAGAAGAGGAACATGGACAAGACCTAAAACCACCGAAACATGAGTATGTGGTATGTACATGTCTAAATGTCAATGCAACTTGATGTCAACCATTGGTTTGGCCCCAGATCTTGGTGAACTGACAGCTTTATTTGGGCACTGTGAAGAAACCTCAACACAAATGTAAGTGATATCAGGTCACACTTTGCATTAGTGTGCATTTTGCAGTATTATTACAGATACAGAGTGAAAAGGAAAAAAAATGTTTTTTGGCAAAGACACCATACAAATTTTTGGGTTTTTTTTTTTTTTTTGGACATATGCCATGGTGTTTTTGTTTTTTGACATTTGCCACACTTATGGATGAAGCATGCTTGCATGAATTTCAGTCGTAACACTTTACAATACGGTTCATTAATTAACATTACTTAATGTATTAACTAACAAGAAATAACCTTGAGCAATACATTTGTTACTGTATTTGTTAATGTTAGTTAATAAAAAAAAGCTATTCGTTGTTTGTTCATGTTAGTTCACAGTGCATTAACTCATGTTAACAAGATTTTGATAAAGTATTAGTAAATGTGGAAATTAACATTAACAAAGATTAATAAATGCTGTATACGGTAAGTGAAGTTCATTATTAGTTCATGCTAACTAATGTAGTTAACTATGAACCTTATTGTAAAGTGTTACTAGAGTTTTTATTCATCAAAGCATCCTAAAAAAAATATATCTCGTTTTTAACATTGATAATAATAATAGGATGTTTCTTGAGCACCAAATCATTTCTGAAAGATCATGTGACAGAAGACTGAAGTAATGATGCTGAAACTTCAGCTTTGCCATATGAATACATTACATACAGTACTTTGTCATATGAATACAGTACATTTTCATATACATTAAAATGATTTATATTGTAGTTTTATCAAATAAATACACCCTTAAGAGACTTTTAACATTTAGCATGGTATCCTTGGAATGCCATATAAATTCTATCATATATATACATCATTATTAGGAACACCATACTAATACTGTGTTTGACCCCCTTTCGCCTTCAGAGCTGCCTTAATTCCACGTGACATTGATTCAACAAGGTGCTGAAAGAATTCTTTAGAAATGTTGGCCCATATTGATAGGATAGCATCTTGCAGTTGATGGAGATTTGTGGGATACCACATCCCACCACATCCCAAAGATGCTCTATTTGGTTGAGATCTGGTGACTGTGGGGGCCATTTTAGTACAGTGATCTCATTGTCATGTTCAAGAAACCAATTTGAAATGATTCGAGCTTTGTGACAAGGTGCATTATCCTGCTGGAAGTAGCCATCAGAGGATGGCTACATGGTGGCCATGAAGGGATGGACATGGTCAGAAACAATGCTCAGGTCATTTAAACGATGCCCAATTGGCACTAAGTGGCCTAAAGTGTGCCAAGAAAACATTCCCCACACCATTACACCACCACCACCAGCCTGCACAGTGGTAACAAAGCATGATGGATCCATGTTCTCATTCTGTTTACGCCAAATTCTAAATCTACCATCTGAATGTCTCAACAGAAATCGAGACTCATCAGACCAGGCAATATTTGTCCAGTCTTCAACTGTCCAATTTTGGTGAGCTCTTGCCAATTGTAGCCTCTTTTTTCCTATTTGTAGTGGAAATGAGTGGTACCCGGTGGGGTTTTCTGCTGTTGTAGCCCATCCGCCTCAAGGTTGGCTTCACAAATGCTTTGCTGCATACCTCGGTTGTAACGAGTGGTTATTTCAGTCAAAGTTGCTCTTCTATCAGCTTGAGTCAGTCGACCCATTCTCCTCTGACCTCTAACAGCAACAAGGCATTTTTCACCCACAGGACTGCCGCATAATAGATGTTTTTCCCTTTTCACACCATTCTTTGTAAACCCTATCCCAGTAACTGAGCAAATTGTGAAATACTCAGACCGGCCCGCCTGGCACCAACAACCATGTCACGCTCAAAATTGCTTAAATCACCTTTCTTTCCCATTCTGACATTCAGTTTGGAGTTCAAGAGATTGTCTTGACCAGGACCACACCCCTAAATGCATTGAAGCAACTGCCATGTGATCGGTTGATTAGATAATTGCATTAATGAGAAATTGTATATACAATATATACAGTATTAACATGCCATCTCTATGCACTTCCATAGTATATTTTTTAAGGGAAATGCCCTTTATTTTATATTATTACTATTGTAATCAAATTACATTTTCATGTAATATGTCAAATAAGGTCACTGAATGCTATTCTACTACTCTGTATCACGTCAAACAGATAAGAGCAAAATCCAAAATGTGGCATCGATGATAAGAAAGGGCATTTTCTACAGTTTTATATTAGCAGATTTAGAGTTTAAATTTGTCAAATGGGTTGGTTTACATGAATCTAGCACAACTATACATTAATGCTTCCATCTGTTACACGAGAAGTGTGTCCCAGAATTGATTATGCAACACTGTAACAGTGTAGTTGTAATATACATTGATTTTATTGGCAGTGTGCTGTTATGCAGTATATCTGAATGCCATGCACATTCACAATATGCTGACTGACCAGTAGCCTTATAACCAGGGTTGAAGCACACTTTCTGGTGTCGGTTATGATCTAGCTTATACAATGAGTTCTGTCCTTTACTTTAGGATATGCATTTTATCATGCTTAGTGAACCCTTGAGGAGACGAAAGTTATATATTTGACTATTGTTTATTGATAATGGTTTGTTTATAATATATTAACTTATATTAATGTTGAAAATGCATGTTAACCAAAATAAATACTGTAAAAGTATTGTTCATTGTTATTTTATGTTAGCTAGCCTACTTCACAAACTAATGCTAACAAAATGTTAGCATTAGTTTGCTAAAGTTAGAGCTGCAATTAGGCTAATCATTAAATGATCACAGTCTTTACTCTTTACACCCCATGGTCTTATTCCTAAACGACAACGATTTGGTCATGTGTATTAAAACTTTAACAAGTAGCATATGATCACAGCCAACATTCAAATTTGTTTTGATGGAAATACATACGTTAACAGGCAGATCGGACATCATATCACATGCACTCGGACCGAATTACTCTGCGTTCGGGACAAATACCAAGCTCAGAGCCCTCTCCCCGGACAGCACGCCAAATACGTTTACCAATTTAATCTATCCAACTGAAGTGTGAACTTGTGAAATTAAGCATTAATGATCATGAACATTAAAAAGAGACAAAAGAAGAGCCAAGTTTAGACGAGGTCATTGATCCAGTCTGGAACTGAAAGCACATGGAGCCAATGGAGTCATACAGTTAATTATATCCTTTTGAACGTCCTGGGGTATAATAATTTTATAAGTTCCAAACAAGCCTGGATCAGCGAAATGACCTGTTTCATTTGTACTCTAGCCAATAAAATGGGAAAAAATGTTGTAAGTGGAGTCAGCACAACAAATTTACCATAGATATCTTCTCATCACTGTGACCGGTAAAAATATCTGATAGCGGTACGTGACAAATCAATTAGCCATGAGTCTAATTTCATGGAAAGGCATTTAAACGCTGCTGAATAACAGAGCGATGGATCATGATACAGGCTGCTTTGTTATCGCTATCGGAGGCATGTGATGGCGGCTGGTGTGACCTAACAGACTGCCGACACGTGGTTGGAACGGGCTGAAATATAGGGACTGCTTTGTGCCGGTTAGCCCCACCAGCTCAATCTGTGACTTAGACATGTTGGCACCAGACATACATCACTGACCAGCACTAACCTATGTCTCTTGGTATCAGAGGTCATCACAGGCTTATTCTCAAAAATTGCATATTTCTCAAATGTTTTTGATTGCTTTTGGTTTAACTTTTGTGCCCATGCATTTCATTTAGGCCTATATAAAAGAAACCATACAAAAATATATATATATATAAAAATATATACTACTCACCCTCATGTCGTTCCAAACATTCAACTTAAGACTTTCGTTTGTCTTCGGAACACAAATTTTAATTTTAATGTAATAAATATATTACTACTATAATAATTCAGGGTTCCCCTCTGGGAAACCTGGAAAACGACTACTTTCCATTCCTGGTTAACATGGAAAATTAGATTAAATGAAAAATGTATTTAAACAGTTTTCTAGTGTTTGCCTTTAGTTTGTCATTCCCTGAAACAATTCGTTTATTTGCAGAGAGTATTGTGTTCAGGGATGCTGAATTTCGACGCACAAGAGAATCATTTTGAATAATGATGCTCAGCCTTGTGTTAAGTTAATGCTATTTACTGCTCAGATGTTTGCAGTGAATGTTAACTGGTAAGCAGCTATCTAACCTTGTTTACGAATCCGCTCAAATCACCAGAGTTTTGTTCAGTGCACCAGAATTCTGCACATTCGTGAATTTGTTTTATATGTAAACGAGATTCATTGAAGAGTGTAATCGGCATCATTGATTATATAAATGGGAGTTTTCACAAGAGTGCAGAACTCCACAGTGGCAGATTCAGTGACTAAAGGAAGTGGTCTTTGTTTGCTATCAGTTAATAACCATTTCGCAATTTGAAAGTTTTATTTTGTCATGCTGTAAAGTACATTGCAAAATTTGGGCAGTTACAACCATACTTAAATATGACTGAAAATAAAATTGTGCTGATTGACACAGTGATACACAAAGCAACAGATGGGACAATAAAGTCTGATGTGTCAAAATTAATCTGCATTAAGTGTAAATGCAGACTAATAGACCTGCCATCTGTTCTATTACATGTAATGCATTTCTTTTCAAAATTTAAAAAAGTATTTTGAAGCTACATGCTAATGTTTTAATTTAATATTTACTATAATTCTCTGACTTTATTTAATATTTTTATTTTGAAATATTTAAACAAAATATTTGTACTTATTTATTTATTTATTTATTTATTGCTATGGTATTGAAATTGAAACCGACAACCAGTTGTCATAATGTATAATTAAGAGCTCATATCTATAAAAACTGATTTTATTGTTAAGTGATCGCTGAAAAAGAGTGGGATCGCTGATAATGATCTGCATATTTTAATGACAGACTCCAATAAATAAATAAAAATAGCATTAAAGGAGTATATCACTTTTAAAAAACAACTTTTGTTGATAATTTACTCACCCCCATGTCATCCAAGATGTCCATATCATTCTTTCTTCAGTCGAAAATAAAAATTAAGGTTTTTGATGAAAACAATCCAGCATTTTTCTCCATATAATGCACTTCACTGGGAACCAAACACTTTCAATACAAACTGCAAACTGTTCAAAGGGCTTTAAACGATTCCAGACGATGAATAAGGGTCGAAACAAGCGAAACGATCGCTCATTTAATAAATAAATAACGAATTTTAAGTTTTATAAACTCAAATGCTCGCCTTGCTCTGTTCTGCGAAGCACGTTTGTGACTCTCCTGTTTGAACTCGTTCATCAAAATGAACGAATCTTTTTCCGAGTCATTTGGTTCATTCAACAAACGAAACGAACGAATTGACTCGGAAAAAGATTTGTTCATTTTGATGAACGAGTTCAAACAGGAGAGTCACGAACGTGCATCGCAGTACAGAGTAAAGCGAGCTTTTGAGTTTAGAAAACGTAAACTTTGTTATTTATTTATTAAATGAGCGATCGTTTCGATTGATAAGACCCTTATTCATTGTCTGAAATCGTTTTAAGCCCTTTGAACAGTTTGCAGTTTGCACTGAAACCTGTTTTTGGACCTTGAACCGTTTGGTTCCCATTGAAGTCCATTATATGGAGAAAAATGCTGGAATGTTTATCAAAAATCTTAATTTCTTTTCGACTGAAAAAAAAGAAAGAAATGGACATCTTGGATGACATGGGGGTGAGTAAATTATCAGCAAAAGTTTTTTGAAAAGTGAACTAATCCTTTAATAACATCTTATTCTATTAGTTATTTCTAGTAAATTTTCATTTCCAGTAAAAATAGGCCTATAGGAACACACTGTTTTGAATTTAAACTGCCACACTAAATATCTGTGATAAATTTTAGCGGTGTCAGAAATTACGCACTGTAGGCTACTTTTACGACTTAAACTTTGTTGACATTCCACACAGAATCAGTGTTTTTAGTAAATGTCCCAATATCTCCTGTCCACGATACCTCAGCTCAAGATACTATGTTTCTCTCTGCTGTAGAAGCCTGATGTGCTGTAGGAACTGGAGGACAGAAGGGGATAAGCCAGATATGAAGCTACACCAGCAAGAACTGACGGAGCTGAGGAGAAACACCCCGAGATCTCCTTCGCATCGCCGTCGTGGGGCACAGAGCATGCGACGGAAGAGTTTGATAAGAGACACTTACAAACCCACCGATCTCAAATGATACTGACAAGAATCGTGTAGGAAAAAGACTAACAATAACAGTGAGGAAACCCGTTCAAAATGAAACAGCTATCAAAGGCTCAGTCCCAGTTGTGTCCTGACAGCCAGATTTCATCCGCAATAATCCATGCCCAATCCCCAGCAGCCCATAATCAGCCACACGAGACAGGCGCTTGGGTCGTTGCACATGCACAAGGCCTGGAGACAGATATCCCGCAGAGTGTTCTCAGTTCATTGGGTGGATTTCATTATGAAAACATTCCTACATTCATAAGGGATTATGAATAATGGACACTCCAATATCTGTGGTACCACCCAAAGAAAACTGAAGCACAAAGAACAATTCAATGAGCTGAAGAGATAGAAAACAGGATGTAGAAAGAGTTTTCCCAAAGGAAATTCTGACTTCTCTACAACAACTTCCAAGCAACAAGCATTCCACCTGGTGTGAAATTTCCCAGTTCCCCCCAGGACATCACCAGTGTTATATTTGTATGAAGTCTGCACTGGGCTGTTAAACTGTTTAAAGAGGATAGGATTGCAATTTGAATAGTTAAAAGGGCAGAACGTCTAATCGAAAACTAAAACACACAATCATGCTTTGAGGATACAGGTATTATTGTGCTCTAATAGAAATCATTTTACAGGTCAAAAACACTGACGGACGGTGTTATCATTTTGTTCACGTGGTTTTGTCACCTTTTAAAAAACATTTACTCTAAAGCATCATGAATAAATGTACAAATCTCTTATTTATTAATAAAACTTGTACATACATTTTTGTAGTAAACACTAGTTTTCTTGTTTTATTATTATATAATGACATAAAATAAATCAAATACCTTATTTAGGTATTGCTACTGAAGCCCACTTTAATATTTTTGGCTATTTTCATACATGTACAATTGTTAAACTACAATGTATAACAGTTTTGTTGCATTATTTCACAGGCTGAGAGCATCTTTATGTATAATAATAATACTCATAGAAATGTAAATGGGGGGGGGGGGTAGCAATTTGGTGTTTCATACATCACAGACAAAAAAATGGCAGCTTATGTATTTCATTGTTTGTTTATATGGCATATATTGACATGCAAAACAGCAAGTAAAATATGAATGCTACTGGAGGGCGTAACATAGAAGGTACATACAAGTCCACCAATAATACGGTGAGGGAAAACGCTACCAGACATGTTGGAAGAGTCATTCAGAAGAGGCGTGATTTCATAACCCACGTGTTGCAGGATTACATGTGAATTCAGTCTTTTGCTACAGCTTCACCTAAAAACTGTGATTGCCACAAAGCCCATGAGGCTCATTTATTTTCCAGCCGAAACTCCAGCAAACTAATGCAAATCTCCTTAATTCACATTTAGGTTCTGATCAGATGTTGAGCTAGATTCTGTTGTCTGGTGATGCGTTTCCTCACACGGTCCTGGGCTCAAGTGCAGACAATTGAGGCAGCTGTAAAGTTTACTTCTTGAAAAAAGTGCACGGTTAGTAGATTATGTCGAATATAAATTGGAATGAATGATAACATTCAAACATCTGAAAGTTAGTTATTAACTAAACGCTTCGACTTTAGACTTCAGGCATTCATCAACGAGAATTCATGTCTAGACACAGAGGACTGAATAAACGCACGTTGGCGGTTGATGGCGAGGAGTCCTCCGTTTACTGTGTGAACAGACATACAGCTGGATCAATCTCATGCCGAACATTCCAGATTCTTAGCAGCAACTCACACATAATGGAAAGATCCACCTACAAGTACATTCTAACGCAAAGCGCAAAATGAACCCCACACAAGTGAACTCTGATACTGATAAGAAAGTCTCCTTCATTACATCATCCCTCGTCACATAAATTGTGTGTGCAAGTGGTTAATAATGTAATATAATATAGCAATACATGCAAGGACTGCAGCTCAGCTGCAGCTAAAGTGCATGGCTCATACACTCTGGTTGCATCCAGCTGTTTAAAAAAAACCCTTCCCAAGTCTGTGCAGAACAACATTCATATTAACAACGACCAGCACGTCAACCTGGCATTCATACAACCAAGAGATATTGAAGGAAATGTAAAATTCAACTGACTAAAGGTGAATATTACACAGTTCCCATATGCAGTCATGAGCTAAACATGCACTCATGTCAAACAATGCTGCTTTTATGTTCGAAAGCTTTCACGAACACTACTGCCATTTATGGCCTGGAGTATTTACAAACTCACTCATTTTCCTGATGGTAGTAGAGGTGAGCATTTAAATGCAAAAGATTATCGTCTAATGTAATACTGGCTGTTTATACGTAAAAACTGACTTCCCTTCAAGAAAAATTGGCTCAGTTGTATAATTATGTCAATCTGATTTCCAGTTTGTGGCAGCATTGCTAACAGAAAACAAAGAATTGATGACTTAAAATGTTAATATGTGGCGGGCAGTGATCGTATGAAAGTGAAAATTAAGGGCAGCAGAGACCGTTCAAAATCAGTCCATTATCATATAAAACAGCAATAAGAACATTTAGTATCCAAAGCCATTTGAAATCCATTCTTTTCCGCCTACAAGTCACATTTTCACGATGAGACACTGAATCCAAGTCTGTCATATCTTCAATTAAGCCGCCTCCATTCGGGTGAATAATCCCGAGCTCAAACCCTCCTGCTCTCCATCTTTCCGTTTCCTTGATTTTTCAGACCCGCTGCATGACATATTTGGAGGGGTCGTGAATGGTCAGATGGAGTTATGTGCAAGAAAAGTTAAGTTATGAAGCACAGGGAGGCGTGGTTTAATTTTTTGGGGCGGGGTCAAGCGTGGTCCTCGATGGGGAAAACTAAACGTGTGCCACGGCTCAAGAGCTCATGTTCACGTGTGTCCAGTTCTCTCTCCAGAGCGTCTTCCGATGTGCTGTCGCTGCGTTTGCCGTTCACGCCCCAGCTCCCGGCCGATCCTTCGGGGCCAGAGGATGACGAAGCTCCGTTGGCCGTGATGGCCGTGTCACCGTAGGTCAGCGTCAGGTCTCCTTCGTTCAGGATGAGGTCTGAGTCACTGTCTCGCAGCGGCTCGTGGTTCTGAGGAGCACAGTGACAAGTCGGACATGAAGGGAGGAGGACGGGATGTTTGAAGTCCACACGCACTCGCACACACTACTCAAGCACAACACAAAGGTTCATGAGGGACACTGTGGAGTCACAAGACAGGATAAAAAAAGAGAAATACACTTAGATGTCCTTAAGAGAAAAAATAAAAAAATCACATACTTACCTGTGTTTAATGCAGCCTTCAAGTTCATTTTGAAATACCACTAATTTATAGTATGAATACCAATGACCAACCAAGTCATTAGAAAGATGATTAGAAAGATTAGACATTAGAAAGATGTCTTGAATTTTTTTTTTATGCAAGATAAAAAAAAATATTGATGAAGAAATTAAAAGGATTTTTTTTAAGTCACAGTTGGCTTAATAAAAATTAATTCATTATTTACAAGACAATGCATACGTGCATACACAAGTCCCCCAGTAGTGAAAATCAAGTTTTTAGTGTATATGTCTGGTTGTTTTTTTTTATATGGTTTAAGACAAACCATGTGCCAAAGCATAAGTTGCGGAGTATTTACTGATCTAAAGACAGTCTCAAAAACCCAGTTGAAATCGCTGGAATTTCTTATATCACGAACTACCTTGTAACCAATCACATCAACGCGCTCATACTGCATTTATATATATATATATATATATATTTCTCATTTGAACATGTGCCATCGAAACAATAAACTTCCCAGATGGACTTGAAGGCAGCATAAGCAAAGATAGCAAATCAGCAAATTTACACAACATTTGTTCACATTATGCATATGTAACAAACCATCTCCCATAGTTTAAAGTCTTGCCATGCACAGATCACTGGGTTTAAATGGTACTTCATAGAGTCACTGGGTTCAACTGAAGGGGGTTGTCACTGAAGCACAATCATACCAGGGGATTACACTACGTGCCAACAGTTCACACAAACTAAACTCTGTTATGCAACAGTTAGCTTCACATATAGCTGCTGTTTAAATCCTTTGAGAAGGATCTAAATAATGCCTGTTCCATGTTAATGTTTTGGGGTGGTGTCATTTAGTCAATGAAGATAACCTGTTTAAAGGTTTAGTTCACCTCAAAATGAAAACTGCCTTATAATTTACTCACCCAACTCATCCGTACTCATCCGTTTACTCATCCGTAATGACCTAAGCCCTGGCGCATGGCAGACCAGCACGAGACGAACAATAACCTATGGCTAAAACACTAAGTTATGTGATTACGTTATGCAGTAGACCACAACACCAACTAAATGTGGATAAATTAAACAAGGATGTCTGCATCTGTTCTAAGTTAAGTCAACAACGTATTTGAACGTTATCTTTAAAATCTCTTAGGCTAACGTTAGACTAACATTAGAAAATGTTAATGTTAGCTTCTAGCTGTGTTGTACATCATGGCACTTAGCTTCTTTAACGTATCTGTAAATAACCGAGATAACAAATGTTAACAATGTTGTGCTCAATGATTCATGTAAATACTGTAGGTTCATGTAAATACCGAACGGTGATGGCAACGATATGCTGTTTATCCCGTTTACACTGTGACATGCACAATTTTTGCCTGGGGCTGAAGCTTTTCATCGACCTTCTCGACAATAACGCTCCAAAGCATAGTTAATACCCTTTAGGTGACTTCGAGATGATATATAATCTCTCTGTCACCAAAAATCTCCAATTGCCACCTGTGAAATGTCTCCTACTGTGACAACTGCCATAGCGCCCGTCCCCGAATGTTGACCGTTTGTCCGAGTGAGTGGAGGGGGCGTGGCTTAGCCATAGGTCAATTGTGGTATATAAGTATATAAATTTTTCTTTTTTTTTTCTTTTTAAGAAAATGACCAATCATTTCGCTAGATAAGACCTTATTCCTCAGCTTGGATCGTGCTGAGCCCTTTGAAGCACTTACTAGCCCTATGAAACTGCATTGATTTGGACTTCAACATGCTGGTTGCGCTTGAAGTCCATTGTGTGGAAAAACTTAAATTTCTTTTCCACTGAAGACAAAAAAGACATGAACAACATCTAACATGATCATGATCTAAATGCAGTCCATTTACTTTATCTACAATTTTTCATTTTGAGGTGAACTAATCTTTTAAATTATCAAATTAAAACAATTGAGGAAGTTGAGGAAAGTCCTTCACTCAGTTAAATCAGCCATTAAAGCAAAACAATAACTAACCACAGCTAATAATGCACATGTTATGGCCAACTTATATTTGCTTTGCCACTTCAATAAGGAAAAAAAAACAAAAGGAGGAAGTGATTATGAAAATTAAAACTTTCTTTTCAGACAAGACAGCAGAACAGAGAGGGAAAGTCAGTGTGAAATGAGAGAATGAACAGCAAAACAGGAAAATATAATAAAAAAATACAGTTTTAGGAGAGCCTAGAGAGAATGATCGAAACAAGAAAAGAGGAACAGAAATGTATATAGACAGACACACTGAGGTATTTAGACGGGAACAGGATGTACTTGAAGGAAACTGTATGACTCATGCACTGAGGAGAACCATCATCATTATAGGTCTGAAAACAGATAACTCATTGCTGGTATTCACAGCGTACCATGCGCTGCAGCTACGAGGGGCATAATTGTGTTACGAGGGAGAGAGGTGGGCGATCATGCAGTTCTGCAGGACATTTAGCTCATTGTGAACCAACACAAAGTAAGAGTATAAGACGTTTGTGAGCTCAGCTAAGCAGCCCAAACTACAGAATGAGCATTGTGATGAATAGGGGAATTTGCAGGAGTGAATGGGGCTGTGACCATTGTGAATAACTGTGTTCTCCATGCTTGGAATACTGGAAAGCCTCTCAGGCTCACCATCATCAGAGTGGCATCATGAAAGGCTCTTTTGTGACCAGGCACACACTGAATGCATCTTCCTTAGGGTCTGTGTCCAGTATAAAAGCTTTTGTGAGTCTGTCTTTCTCTCTTTTCTTTTCAAACAGGGTTTCACAGAGCAACAACATTGGAAAGCAAGCTATGGAAACCAAAGCGTGCTGCTGAGGAACTCTTTCTGAAAAAGCTACTTCTCTAAAAACATGGCAAAGTGCAGTATGAGGTGCAGACCA